GATCAATTATGAATTAAAGCAAGCGTCAATTTTTCTTGCCCCTTCCGCCTTGCACATGCGGATGCCGGTTAGTAGGCTTTCATATTCCGCCTCATTATTTGAGGCCTGAAACTTGAACCGTAGTGCATATTCGTACTTGTCCTCTTCAGGAGACCGACATATGACACCTGCACCACACCCGTTCATAGTAAAGCTCCCGTTTACGTATACTTTCCAAACCTGGTCAAGATTCTTCGGCTTAGCCGGCATTGTCATTTTGACAATGAAGTCGACAAACGCCTGTCCCTTTACTGCCTTCCTTGGTTCGAAAGAGATTTTAAGGCTTTGAATTTCAATAGCCCATTTGATCATTCGACCGGATGACTGCATAGTTGTCATTGGCCGTTTGATGGGTTGGTCTTTGTAGACCACAACTGGATGTGCCAAGAAGTAAGGTTTCAACTTCTTTACTGCCATAAAAAGAGAAAGGCCAAACTTTTCAACGGTTGGGTACCGTAGTTCAGCATTTCGAAGAACGTGGTTGATGAAATAGACTGGGAGCTGGGTGCCGTCACTCTCAGCAAGGAGACCAGCACTGAGAGCATAGTCAGAGACGGCTAAGTACATATAACGCACCTCCTTTGGCAGAGGGCTAACAAGCCTTGGCAAAGAGTGCAAGTGTTCTTTCAATTTCTGAAAGGCCGCCTCAGCATCATCCCCTCATTCAAACCTAGTCTTCTTTTTGATAGCTTAGAAAAAATAGAGGCACTTGTCACCTGACCGGCTGAGGAATCTCCCCAATGCTGCAAGACAACCGGTTAGTTTTTGAACTTCTTTGATAGTGCGGGGAGACTTCATGTCAATGACCGCTTGTATCTTCTCTGGGTTGGCCTCTATCCCCCTTTGATCAATCAGAAATCCGAGAAACTTCCCAGACTCAACAGCAAAGACACACTTCTTGGGATTGAGCATGACCTTGTACCGCCTAAGTGTGGTGAAGGTTTCTCGGAGGTCAGCAAGATGATCTGTCTGTAGCTTAGATTTGACTATCATGTCATCAATTTACGCTTCTACATTCTTCCCAATTTGATTAATGAAGACTGTATTAATCATTCGTTTGAAAGTAGCAGGCTCATTTTTCAAGCCAAACGGCATCACAGTATAGCAGAATAACCTCTAATAAGTGACGAATGTCGTCTTCTCTTGATCTTTTTTCCACAAGGGTATTTGGTGGAAGCCTGAATAGGCATCCATAAAGCTTATCAAAGCATGGCTGGCTGTAGAGTCGACCAGACTGTCGATCTTTGGAAGTGGAAAACTATCTTTTGGACATGCCTTGTTCAAATCAGTGTAATTAACACACATGTGCCAAGTACCATTCGTCTTTTTTACAAGAACAACATTTGCAACCCAATCTGGGAAGTAACATTGCCGAATGAACCGAGCGTCTAACAGCTTCTTTACTTCGGCGGCTGCCGCCTGACTTCTGTCCTCGCCGTGGTTTCTGTTCTTTTTCCTAATCGGCTTCTTTTTGGGATCCACAGCGAGCTTGTGGACAGCTAGATCCAGGCTGATGCTTGGCATCTCTTCCACTTCAAAGGCAAAGATGTCTTTGAATTCCTTCAGCAAATTGTGCAAGTCTGCAGCCAACTTTGCAAAAGCAGCCGTCCCAACCTTGACAGTATGCTCTGGACGTGTGTCGCCCAGAGCAATATCAATGTGCTCACCAGCCGGCTGGGGACGGAGTTCGTCTGACAGTTCCCTAGTGAGTGATTGCTATTGCTTTTCTTTTTGCATGGCCACCAACAGGTTGGCCTTTCTCTTCTTGCTGGCTGCTATTGGAGCAAGCTCGGCTTCCTTGGCATCATTAAGGTCTATTGGCTCCTCACTTGGGCCGGCAACGGTCACTATTGGTTTGACGTCTAAGAGATAACACTCTCTAGCCGTCTTCTGATCCCATTCATGTAGCCAACGGACCCATCATCCTTCTCAAATTTTAGCAGCATAAGGGATAAAATAACGACGGCCTTGGATTCCACTTGGCGAAAATTGCTAATCAGCACCGGTTCAAAACCCCCATTTCGCACCGGTTTTGAACCGGTTCTGATTTGAGGGATGCCAAATCCCAAGACTTTTCGCACCGGTTCTTGATGTGAATCGGTGCGAAAAGTCCCCAAAAATATAAAAAAAAAAAAAACAAAACTTTTAGCACTAGTTCTTGCTTTGAACCGGTGCAAAAAGTGGCCAAAAAAAACTATAAAAAAAAACTTTTAGCACTGGTTCTTGCTTTGAGCCGGTGCAAAAGGTGGCCAAAAAAAATTAAAAAAAACTTTTAGCACCAATTCCGTTCCAAAACTGGTGCCAAAAATGCCCAAAAAAAAATATATTTGTTTTTTTTTGCATTTTTTTCACTTAAATTGATATATAAACACTAACATATATATAAAGTTACATATTTGTATTAAAAAAGGCTATCATATTACAGTTTTCGTCCAAAAAAAATTAAATAATCTAGACTTATCTCTAAGTAATTGAACAAAGATTAGGGGAAAGATTCTACTAATTACATACTTTCTCTACCCACACTAAGGGCTGGAAAACCCCAGTTGCTGAGTGCCAATAAATTCTGATGAATATTGCCTGCACTCTGACGAAGTCACCGAAGTCAACTACTCCTTTCCTTTTAACATCGAACAAATCAAAGACCTGTGTACATATTGATTCCCATTTATTAAGGGTATAACATAATATTTACGAGACACAAACTATCAAATTAAAAACTGATAAAAACACTGGGACACATTCATTACCAATAATCTGGGTCGTTCAGTTTATGGTTGAAATTAAGGATCCAATATCTTTCAATTACATCATGTTGCATATTCGATTTCAGTTTCTGCTTTTTTCTTATGATTTCATCTTCTCATGCCTTCCCTATCTACAACTTTTCACAACTTATTTAAAATGTTTTCTCTTATCAAGTCTGTAACAGTGTTATCTCAGCAGTAAGGTATTTCATTGCACAATGAGGTCAATGTTGACGTGGGTGGATGTTATCGATGCAAAGACCTATCATCGCTTTTATAATTTTTTTAACCATAGAAATCCAAAATTGAGTGGCTGCATTAATTTCCCCAGACTGCACTGTCTGCAACCTAGTTTTACACAAAGAATCTTTTCTTTTATAAATTCCACCACAATGAGGGGCATGCCTCACGAAGGTGCTATGTTCCTAGGTTCTACACTTTAGTGTGCCTTGAGCGTTCTCAAGGACTGATTATGGCCTCCTCAACCAAGCCTTCAGCACACCTTCACTAGTGTGCAATTGTAGAATGTGCTAAATTGGTAGGAAATGAAATTGTGCAGTAGATAGTCCAGATGGAAAACTACAAAAGGCAGAATTCTTTAAGCTTACATACCCATTATAGATAAAAACACACATTGATTTGGTATAAACCTACCAACTCCCCACGACCCCAGTCATCCCACCCCTGGCACCCTACTAAAGAACAAGGTTTTGAGCCCCACCTTCCTTCAAAATCAGCAAACCATATCCATGAAAGCCATGCACCAATAAAAATAAGAGCTAATATTACTTTCATGAAATATATATAAATAGATGTAAAGAATTACCTGTATAGCATCAACGAGATATCCAGATAATACTGACACCCATAAGGTCAAAATAGCAAGCCAGGAAATTGCTTCCCAGTAAGTTATCTCCGGAGCTCCTCATCATCAGATTCTTCTACAGTATTGACCATATCCTATATCATTTACAGGAGTTAGAATGTGAAAGATATCATAATAACCTTAGTATCTTCATATAAGTAATAAACAGAATAAGTCTTTCAGACAATCATAAATCTAAGGTTGTGCATGCCTAAGCCTTCCAACCCCACCATAGACACAGAAGCCTTGATAAATATGCACGCAAAAACAAATATGAATATAAGATAAAGAAATACTTGGCCAGCTACCCACTAGCATGTAGTATAGACACAGAATATCTCCTAAGTCCTACATCCCATTTATCGGTTTTTTACAAAGACAAGATTTATCAGATAATGAAATTTCATCATCAACTGCAAAAAAAGGAACATAGATATTGCAAACTTACCCCATCAATTTGATCATAGAGATTGTGTTGACTTCTTAGCTGAAAGTATAGGTAACTTGCATATGCCACCAGCATGATACCACTACTAAATCTTGAAAGGGAAAGCTCTGATTTGCCACGATGCACCTCAGTATGCGTAAAATGGAGCATAGCTGGAAATGTTATACCCATCACAGCCATTAACAACAAGCCAGAGTTCATTACAGCTGCAGACTGCAGCAAAAGTTACACTAGTTATCAATACATTGTCTTGAAAGATACATCTAAGAGATAAACTAATACATCATATTTCAAGTTGATAATCCACTTGTGAAATACCTTGTCAAAACTCTGGAATTTTGGATGATGAACAACCCCACCAGTGAAAAAGGCACATCCAAGAACTAATAGCATATTCGATAAGATGGAGCCCAGTAAAAAAGATTGTTGAACCACTCTGATCATACCAATCTTCAATGCATATATAGAAATAATCATCTCTGTAGCATTGCCAAATGTGGCATTTAACAAACCTCCCACTGCATGCCAATAACTCTAGTTAGTCCACCAACTCTAATGCAGTATGAATATACAAGACTCATATTGCTCTCCCAACAGTATACTGAAGCTAGTACAGAAGTATGAACCAGAAATGACCAAACACCAAAAGAAAATGACGTATTTAATACTACTTTTATTTCTAAAGGTTCTTAACACTTTACCCTAAAAAAAAAAAAAAAAAAAAAAAAATTGAGGTTGAGATGAATCTATTAAGACCCCATGTGAATATTTTTTTTAATGTATAAATTACATAGTCAAAATGAAGTTTGTGAATAGTGCCAGAAATCGAAGTCTTAAAAGTTTTAGACATGGAGCCATGGAGTAAATATCTTTGAAGGTGGAAATTACAGTTTTTAATTACCTGTAGGGCCTATATAAAAAGCCAGCTGCCTGCATCATAAATCAAGGAGTAGCATCCATTAATAATCAATTATTTGCAAAATTGAGGAATTAGTCAGCTCAATAAAACAGAACAAGCGTACTCTGTTGCATAACCCAAACGCTCGGCCAAAGGGGTGATGCCTAAGAAACTTAAAAAGAAGATCCAACCCTGAAATCCATACAAGTCCCATAAGTAATATCAGTATACATACCATCACTATAACTTAAAAACAAGCCAAAGAAACCTACATCATGATCCCTCTAGAAGAAGCGATTCAAACCATCTTTCTAGCAAGTTCTAACTTCTTTTCACAAATCTCCACCTTATTTTATTTTTCTTTTATTGCAGAATTGCATTGAATTCATAAAGCCCTCACGAAGCCTTAGACGCACTCAGAAAACAAGGCAATTATTGCAGAATTGCATTGAATTCATAAAGCCCTCACGAAGCCTTAGACGCACTCAGAAAACAAGGCAATGTCCTCTCAAATAAATATCTCCAAACAAGACAATTTAATAAACAGTTTAAAACCAGACTCTAGCCAGCATATTCAAATCAGATTTTATGATACCAAACACCAAAAATAGGAAAAATTAACACATTCATAAGCACAAACAAAGAGCCCCACTAATCACTGAACTAAAAATAAAATAACTAATTGAACAGATCTTAGACTCCTTTCTCTTAACATCCAAAGAAAAATTCAAGTAGGAATCCTTAATCAATTAATCTTATACTGTAATAACAAACTACTCACCCTGGTTAGTAGTCAAGTGAGGCACAAGAAGCCCGTTTTTGTTTCCTACCATGAGGTCTTTACGACGGGAATATTATCCGCTAACTCGGATTCAAATGTACTGCAAACACACAACAATTCACAGTGTGACTACCAAAAATTAGCCTTATCACAAAATAACCCAAACCAAAGGAACACTAAGCCACTAATAATCTCAGCAGCTTAAGCAAGCAAACCTGTAAAAGTTCTCAGACCCACCGATTGTGACCAAACAATATGCATTAGTCAACTTAGAGAACACACCCACTTCACAATTGTTCTCAAATTGAAGCCCTACAAAATATCTATCATAAACACATTGAAGTAAACAAAAATTGACACTCAAATCCAATGCTTGAAAAAAGTGACTAATGCATACAAATTTTAATCAGTATGAATATAGTGAAACTCAACTAGTTCATAGGCCAATTATAATGAATTAAACTAATTATTTATCAAAACAAACTCCGATTCATAGCAAAGTTATTGAATTAAAAAAAAAAAGAAAAAGAAACAGTGAACCCAAAATAACGAGTCAAGTTCCAAAATCAAAGAACCCACAATACACAATCTACAAATTCTGCACAGCCAAGGTTAGCAAAAACGTTACTTGAAATTGAGGAAAAAATTGAGCAAAAAAACGCAGATTCAAAAAAATAAATCAAAAACACAACGTAATACCACATGTTTAGGGTAAAAATACCCTATGCCACGTGGCCCAGTAGAATCGTGACACGTGGCAGTCCACCAAAGGCCCAACGGGATCCAATCGGATGCTGTCACGTGGCATTAAAACCCTAATCAAGGAACATGTCTCCCCCACTATAAATAGGGGAATCCTTCTCATTTATTGGGGATTCAGAAATTCATACACGAAACCCGAGCAATATTAATTGCGGAATCTCTCTGAATCAGTGAGAAAAACCTATTTACCTTCCGCATTATTACCCATCCGTAAATCATACTAACTTGATCGTAGGAGGCGGAACTCCACCCAATCGGAGTTTCGTGGTATTGCAGGGACAGAAGTCAGGCGCGCATACTCCGTATTGTAACTCTCCCGAGGGACTAAAAACACCCAAAACATTTGGCGCCATCTGTGGGGAGAGTACTACTGAGATGGCATCCGATCCTGTACCGAATGCAGAGGGCAGCCGGCCTCCGGCTGACCCCGAGGTCCATACGGACCATGAGAGTAGCAGTGGGGACGACTACGACGTCGAAACCTACATGGCCCCAGACGGATCATTCCGTTCTAGGTGCACCCGTTCCAAGGAAACAAGGGAACGGAGCCAAGACAAAGCTTGTCCCAGCAACCCAGGCGGCAAGCCTGTTGGACAACCCTAGGCGGCGGAGGGTGCTGCCCCCGTCACCAGAGACGAACTCATGAACCTCATGACTAGTTTTAAGGGGGAAATCAAAGATATAATCAGGAAGTCAGCTGGCTCCAGCAAGGGTCAGTCGGCAAAGAAGCCTTTTCCCTCCGGGAAGAAGCAAATCAAGGACCGAGTGCCTACCCCGCATCCCAAACACAAGGGGACGGATGGGCCCCTGATCGACCTTTCGAAACTTCGTTTCCCCGAAACGGGGCAACAAAAGGCCATCCGGCATACACAGCCGGATGGGTCAAAGAAGATGTTCTCTGACGCCCGGTTATTCATCCGGGAGAAGAAAAGTCAGAGCATGTCTCAGTCGGCCTCAACGTCGACCTATTCGGACAGTTTCCGAAATGCTTCAATGAAGCATTCAGAGACACAGCAGGGGAGTCAGTCAGTTAGTATATCTGCACTTACTGGCCCTCATGTGATCCAGCAGCAGCCCCGTATGTGCCCCAACAGCCATACGCCCAGTATGGATCTCCATTCATGTAGTCGCACCCTTCGAGGGTCAGGCGGCCTACCAGGTCCAGCCCATGGACTGACAGCTCCGACTGCAAAATCTTGGGGAACAGCCTTCGGCTTTCTCCCGGGAGATAACCGAGGCGGTACAACCGACCAAGGTTAAGAATGTGTTGGTTGGTGCCTACGACGGTACCACCAACCCAGAAGACCACCTAATGGCATACACCAACCTCATGTACCTACAGGGGTTGGATGATGCCGCTTGGTGTAGATGCTTCCCGCCTGCATTGAAGGGCATAGCCCAGCGATGGTTCGGCAACTTGCCGGCTGGGTGCATCAACAATTTTACGACGCTTGCACACCTGTTTGCGTCCAATTTTTCCATGAATATCCCTGCTAAAAAGACAAGTCTCGACCTAGGGGCTATCCAGCAGGGTGACAAGGAGGGACTTCGGTCCTATGTCAGGCGGTTCAATCTGATGAGAATTCAGATCCAGGGGCTGTCTGACGAAGTGGCATATACAGACTTCTTCAAGGGTCTGAAGGATAGGTCAGCTTTTAAATTTGACCTAGTCCGCAAGAGGGTAGCCACCATCCAAGAAGCGCTGATGGAGGCGGAGGCCTATATACAGGCAACTGAGCTCTGCTCTATCAGGCATCCATCGGAACCCAAGCGGTCCGACAGGAGAGACAGCCGGCCTAACCAGCCGGCCAAAAAAGAAGAAAATAAAAGAAAAGAAGTATGGGGAGCTGACCGCCCAGGTCAGCCATCCCAGAAGAAACAAAGGAAGTTGGAACCGTACGTCCTAAAGTACGAGTTCAACAAAGACTGCTCCTCCATCCTCATGGAGATAAAGGATCAGGTGAAAATCGAAAAACCGGCTGCAATGAAAAGCTCTGTCAAGAACAGAGACAAAATCAAGTATTGTCAGTTCCATGAGGACGTCGGCCACGACACCAATGGTTGCTATAGCCTCAGGCGGCTATTGGACCGTCTGGCTGATGAAGGGTCCTGGAGTCCTATCTGGTGAAAACCAAGGGCAACCCCAAATCAAGTGGGGGACAGCCGTCCAAGAAGCCTGCTGCTAGCTCTGAAATGGATGAAGAGCATATCTTCACCATTGCAGGCGGTTTCGCAAGCGGGGGTCCCACTATCCGGGGTGCCAAGGATAACATCCGGAAACTATCCAACCTAGAAGATGAGGGCCAGGCGTCGAAAGACACCTTTCCTGAGGTCTTCATCTCTGAGAAGGATAGGGGCATGGTCAGGCGCCTCACGATGACCCCCTGGTCATCGAATGCAAAGTTGCCAATCAACGAGTTGGCCAGATCTTAATCGATACCGAGAGCTCGTCTGACTTAATCAGTTACCAGTGCTTGACAAAACTCAAGTACAAGCCTAGCAGCATGCACAAGGCTCCCTATCCCCTAGTTGGCTTTGGGGGAGGGGTAGTGCATCCGGTGGGAATGATTGACCTACCCATCCAGCTAGGCGGTAAAGGAGAAGGGCGGCACATGGTCGTCAAGTTTTTGGTGGTCGAGGAATTAATCGCCTACAACCTTATTCTGGGCCGCCCCACCCTCAACGAGTCCAAGGCTGTCATCATCCCATCTCTTATGATGATCAAGTTTCAGAGGGATGATGGATCAGTTGGTGCCCAAAGCGGGGATCAGAAGACGGCCAGGGAGTGTTACCTCTCAGACGTCAGGCCGACTGTAACAGCAGCCGGTCACAACGAGGAACCTGCTGACCTCGAAGAAGTGCCTGCCCCCAAGGCAGCCGGCACAAAGCGAAAGGCGGACCAGTTGGCCCCCGCCAGAAAAACAAAATAGCAATCACTAGCCAGGGAAAGGCCTGATGATTCCCGACCCCAGCCGGCTGGTGAGAGCATTGATGTCGTCCTGGGCGACAGCCACCCTGACAGAACAGTCAAGGTTGGGACTGTTGCTCATGAAATGTTGGGGGCAGACTTGCTCCAACTTCTGAGAGAATTCAAAGACATCTTTGCCTTTGAAGTGGAAGAGATGCCAGGCGTCAGCCCGGATCTAGCTGTCCACAAGTTAGCTGTTGATCCCAAAATAAATCCGATTAGGCAAAAGAAGAGGGATCATGGAGAGGAAAGGTCTCAGGCGGCAACCGCCGAGGTCAAAAAGCTTCTGGATGCCGGGTTCATTCGGCAATGCTACTACCCGGATTGGGTAGCAAATGTTGTCCTTGTCAAAAAGCCGAATGGTACCTGGCGAATGTGTGTAGATTACACAGATCAGAGCAAGGCATGCCCGAAGGATAGTTATCCCCTACCAAAGATCGATAGCCTGGTCGACTCTACAGCCGGCCATGCCTTGATGAGTTTCATGGACGCCTATTCAGGCTTCCATCAGATCCCCCTATGGAAGAAGGATCAGGAGAAGACGACCTTCGTCACTGATCAGGGGTTGTACTATTACACGGTGATGCCGTTTGGCTTGAAAAATGCGCCTGCTACCTTCCAACGAATGATAAACATGGTTTTGATAAATCAAATCGGAAGGATTGTAGAGGCGTACATTGATGACATGATAATCAAATCCAAGCAACAGGCGGGTCACATAGCCGACCTCCGAGAAACCTTCACCACCCTCAGGCGGCATAAGGTCATGCTTAATCCCACAAAGTGTGTCTTTGGCGTTGAGTCTGGGAAGTTTCTCGAATTTCTGATTGATCAAAGAGGCATAGAGGCCAATCCGGATAAGGTGCAGGCGGTGATTGACATGCAGTCACCTCGCACTGTCAAGGAGGCCCAGAAGCTAACCGGTTGCCTAGCGGCACTAGGGAGATTCCTCAGCCGGTCAGGTGACAAATGCCTTTACTTCTTCCAAGCAATCAGGAAGAGGTCTAAATTTGAGTGGGGCGAAGAGGCTGAGGCGGCATTTCAGAGGTTAAAGCAACACTTGCATTCTTTGCCAAGGCTAGTGAGCCCCTTGCCAAAGGAGGTTCTCTACATGTACCTAGCCGTCTCAGATCACTCCCTTAGTGCCGTCCTCCTTGCCGAGAGAGACGGAAAGCAGGTCTCGGTGTATTTCATCAGCCATATACTCAGGATTGCTGAGCTCCGGTACCCAATGATCGAAAAATTTGGGCTGGCTCTTTACAAAGCTGTCAAGCGGTTGAAGCCTTACTTCTTGGCTCACCCGGTGACCGTCTATACTGATCAGCCACTCAAGCGTCCAATGACTACCATAGAGTCATCCGGCAAAATGATCAAGTGGGCTGTTGAAATGCAAAGCTTGGAGATAACTTTTGAACCAAGGCGGGCAGTGAAAGGTCAGGCGTTTGCCAACTTCATTGTTGAAATGACTAGGCCGGCGCAGCCAGAGAATATCGACCAGGTTATGAAGTTATTCGTAGACGGAAGCTCTACCTCGAACGACTGTGGTGCAGGCATGATTTGTAAATCTCCGGAAGGAGATACTTATGAATATGCACTACGGTTCTAGTTTCAAGCTTCAAACAATGAAGCTGAGTATGAAGCCCTGCTAGCCAGAATACGCATATGTAAGGCAGCAGGGACAAGGAAAGTTGACGCCTGCTCTGATTCTTAATTGATTATTAGCCAATTCAATGGTGACTATGAGGCCACCCATCCGGCAATGATCAAATACCTTCAGGCGGTCAAAGATGAGGCGGGAACCATTGACGAATTCCATCTGAGTTAGGTGCCCCGGTCAGAAAATAATCAGGCGGATGCTCTATCCAAATTGGCCTCATCCGCCACTTGTGATGCGCCTAGGTTACTCTTCTGGGAGGTCATGGAAAAAAGAAGTATTGAGCATGACCCCATTGGAATTATCGACCGAAGCTCTACCTGGATGGACCCCATCCGGGATTATTTGGTACACGACACCTTGCCGGATGCCTCTTCAGAAGCGGCAGCACTTAAGAAACGAGCTTTAAGCTTTGAAATGTACAAGGGAGAACTTTTCAGAAAGGGTTACCTCCAGCCGTTACTGAAGTGTGTTACCCCCGAAAGGGGAAAAGAAGTGCTAGAGGATCTGCATGCAGGCTTTTGTGCTTCGCATATAGGCGGCAGGTCTCTTGCAAAAAGGGCCAGGCGGCAGGGTTACTTTTGGCCCACCCTTGAGGCAGACGCCATGGATTTGGTGAAGAAATGTGACAAGTGCCAAAGATTTGGCCGGCTCATACACCGTCCGGCAATTGATCTTACGGCTATCTACAGCCCGGTTTCATTTGCAAAATGGGGCATAGACATCCTGGGTCCCTATACGCCT